ATATATTGGTGACTTGCATAGCCATTGTACTGTTCGTGAAAAACTTGGATCGAAAAAAAGTGGAAAATGAAGAAAACTTGAATGGTACATTTGATAGACCATTGTCGACTGTATCTCAATATGCAGCTTTCTCAACACTTGGTTGGAAATATTACGGAAACTTGGAAGATTTTCTCGGAAGCAAAAAAGACTATATAAATTCATCACTTTTCTGCAGAAAACGAATACTGTTGTATACCATTCGAAAGAACTCGTCTAGACGAATACGACAGCATATGTGCAGTATCTTTTCCGCACATATGTAGCGCATATTTTGCTCTTAAACCAACACATTAGTTATAACGCCGTAAGTAAACCACCTACCGATCGGATGATTTATACAACAATATACCTGCCATTCAAGAACAAAAAGAAAGGCGATGCGAACGACAAGGACAGTCAATTCTGTTTGTGTGGGAAATCATTCAAGTACAATGACTAATGCAAAGAGTTGACTATTTGTTCTCTCTCGTAGGTATCTTCGTGTATTAGCATGATTATCAATAGGATAGAAATATATATGACTAGCTATGGATATGCCTGAAAGAACATTGAATAGCGAAAGAAACTATAATCGTCGTATTTATTCTTAACCATTCTTGTTAAAGTCATCATGAAAGTAACAGCAATGTTCGTGTTATTCTTGGGTATTGTTACTGTTAGTTTAGTATCTGCCGTTCCAACATACAGTTGGAAAACACGAGCTGATGCTGCGGATGCCGCCAGTACTGGTAATATGAGTGTTGGTAACACTAGTGGTATGGGCAGTAGTGATGTATATAAGCAATTAGATGCTCGTCTGCAGGTAATCCTTAATAAACTCAATCCGAAAGATCAACAAGAATTAGAATCAATTATTCAAGATTTAATTGCCCAATATACAATTGACTTGCTCACAATAATAACACAAGAGTTGGGAATTAGTGGAGTCGATCCCAGCTCTTTATCATCCAGCAGTAGACGAAGAGGTTATGCTGGTGCTAGTGAACGTCGAAATATTTTTAATAATGATGGTGATTTGAAAGAAAGATTATCGCAGCTTCGGCAGCTTGCTGATGAGCGTCGTCGTAATTTCAATAATGATGGTGATTTGAAAGAAAGATTATCGCAGCTTCGGCAGCTTGCTGATGAGCGTCGTCGTAATTTCAATAATGATGGTGATTTGAAAGAAAGATTATCGCAGCTTCGGCAGCTTGCTGATGAGCGTCGTCGTAATTTCAATAATGATGGTGATTGGAAAGAAAGATTATCGCAGCTTGCTGATGAGCGTCGTCGTAATTTCAATAGTGATGGTGATTGGAAAGAAAGATTATCGCAGCTTGCTGAGGAGCGTCGTCGTAGTTTCAACAGTCGCGTTAAAAGGTCTCAGTAATGACGAGATCAAAACGATGATATACACCATCTTGATCTGTTGTTTTCTTGAACTTCCTATAGTTACAGGTTAGGATCTTTTATACTTATAAATTTTTATTTTTTATTTTATGAAAAGCTAAGTTCATGTGTCCGAATCTCGATTTGCACAAAACATGGTTTGTGTTTTTCAACGGTTTTAGTTTAAGATACAATGCAATATTTGTATGCTTGTGTTCTGAAAGAACTTCTGTTTTACGATTTTATTTGAATCGCAATCATTCTATTTTAGGAAAGCAGCACTATCGGGAGATGTTCGAAAGTCTGTTCTTCTGAATGTGGTTTTAGGATAATAAAAAGCTCACTAGATAAACTATAGATCTCTATGGCCTATGCGATCTTTATCAGCCTCGACTATGCAGCTAATTTGGTGATGAAGTAGTGTAGTGCACACGAGATAAGATCCTTTCCATATATCTATGGACAGAAGGATGTCGTGTTGTGAAGTTCCTAAATGCACTACGTTTCTATGAATCAACTTTCATTATAATCATTTCAAGCACATCAATCCAGAGACAAAGAGCCTACGCGTATCCGCGAGAGAGCATTTGGTAAAACGTTTCAGGCTTATTTATCTTCTCTTAATTCTCTAAGAGCATAACAGAAAAAGTTTATTTACAAAACACTTTTGATCGGGAAAATTGATCAAAACGTCTTGGACACGTTCGCGGACAACAGTTGCGTTTTTGGCCACTTCGCCATGGTATCTGTATCTGAGAAGATCACGTTTTCTTACAATAAAAACGCCTTTTTTTCTCATATGGGACGCTTATCAATATTTTTTCAACACTCTGTTATTTCTTCAAAAACTGTTGTAAAAAATAAATCGCTAAATTCTCTGAAAAGATAGTCCGTGTCCTAAAGTATAAATTCATAATAAAAGATAATTCTTAAAGCTACCGAAAATAGGTGACAAAACTTTGTTTCTAAAGGACGGGGGAGGATAAGCTCGTGTCGAGCACCCCAATAAAACTCAATGAAACTTACATATTCGGAATCAGCGTATGGAAAAATGGAAAATGGAAATGGAAATGAAAAATGGAAAATGTAAAAGTATTTTAGCCGTCTCACTTTTCCAAAATTCGCATTTTGATTTTTATCGAAAAATGTAGCTGTTCTTCGCCAAAAACTTTTGAACAAAATCGTTTTCTACTATTGTATAACCGTTTAAATTGTAAAAGACTCAAAATGTCGTTGTATAAAAAATACTGTTAGGAACAAGAACATATATATTGCTTTCCTTTCTTTTATACGTTTTCGTGTTGTGATGATTTTTTGTAGGCGGACTTGGTTTAACATTTAAAAGAAAAATAAGAAATTATTATCTCTGAACGGATGAACGCCTTCAAGAGATTACATTTGATAAAGAGTACAACTGATAGAAATATTGTGTACTTCAAGAGACAAGCCCTATCCGTTGCTCACCTGAATCTAGCTATTTTAAATTTTTTGAAGAAATATTTTGAACAAAAATATTGATAACGTATTATAATTTATTTCTGCAACAAAATGCATTTCGAAACTCCGAAACTACAGAAAACTACATACAATTGAATTCTCTATCGATCTACATAAAAGTTAAAACAATTTGAGGAGGGGTCAGTTGTTACACGATTTTTCACCTAATCCTGCAAATTTTATGTAGTG